TACACTTTACTTTCCCTACTTACTTACACACACCTGCTCTGCTATAAGTTTTCTCTTTTAATTTCAAAGTCTTTAACATTTCGGAGAAACCCTCTACACTTCTGCATGATCTCCGCAGGATGAAGACCCATATTACCAGCATGACATTATATTTACCAACCACAGCAGTGATTTTAACAGTAAATATTGCTATGTCCAGAGTTCTTCTTAACTAGACTGTTGTACATCTTGTGGGCCCTAACTATCAATTTTCCAACTTGTCAAATTCATATGGGAATGGAAACCCTCAATACTTTGCCATACTATCCCTCAAATTCCCCAAACCCCCAGGGGGACTGGGATTACCTGACATTTATCTGTATTATACAGATGTCCAACTGGGTAGGATGGTGAACTGGTGCAGGCACACAACTCTGTAACGCTATTCTACTTCATCTCCATCTACCATATCGGTACCCTTAAAGAACTCCATTTACAGGTCACTCAAGCCCCATCACCATTATACCCCATTATCCGTAACCCTCAGTTATAACCAGGCATGCTTGATCCAGGGTTTCATGCCTTAGCACAGGCAGAGCGGATTACAACCTCAGATTTCATCTCTTCTTCTACTTGGCTCACACTGGCAAAACTGTACGGCTACACCATTTTCTAACTTCCTTGCCCCCCTACCTCAAGAGACAACATTCCCAACCCAACACAACCCCTTCTTTTTCTACAAAAATTGGAAAGAGACTTACGAATAATTTTTTGCAGAAACACATGGACAAAATACTGTACTTTACATACAAATCCTTCAGCTATACCAATTATCAAGAAGAAATGTACAAACTCCTGACGCTCTGGTACAGGGTTTCAAGTGTCTTGAATTCCTTCTTACCATTCCTTCACCCAGATCTGTTGGCACTGCTATACTTGGCAACTGTCCAGGATTTGCTGGGACTGCCTCACTTTTGAGTTAATTGACCCATGAATGCTGTGTCTTGCCTTGAGAATCCCAAAGCATTACGGCCCATGAAACGGCTCTTGTTACTGCGTATGATGGCAGTTGCCTGGGACATCCAAAACACAAACCTCCAGCATGCATGCTATACAGTTGTGGAGTGGGGTACCCTTCCCATACTACTGTAAAAAAAGCAGCATCCTGACCACCTATGGACGTGCAGGGCGGGTGAGCGTAGTGCAGCGTATGGCCGTGTAGTCCCATAGAGAAGGACAGGGGCTGTGTACTAATCACACGCAGCACCTGTTCTCGGGAGCTGCCCGATGCGGCCGTGCACGCAGCACAGAACTGTACGTGCCTGCCGTTTCTAGTGTGAATGAAGGCTTAGAGAGTTTCCTTTGCTTTCTGTCTGGTATAATGTCAGTAGGACAGTATTTGAGGGTAAATCTTTCTAAAGGGGCCCTGAATAGCACTAAGAACCTAACCAGAGTATTAATACTTATACACTCTAAGAAAGAAAACAATTTTGGCTGGACATACACCTTAAAAATTATTGAGGTTTATTTGCATCTGTGAGATTTGAGGCACAGTAAGTAAAGCATATTTGTGGTTGCAAGGACTGTTGTATGTGTGTGTTGTGTATGTAGAGAAACCAGAGATGTGACCATGTTTCAGGTTACACCCTGAATATGTGTGTAACATGATCATGGTCAGAAAGGTAAACATGGCCTTTAATTTCCATTTTGTGAATGGCCAGGAGGAGAGGGAAGTGGAGACACGACCACAGCACTGGAGCATACGAGACCTGCAGCGTTTACATCTGAACAGGAGATGGAGGTGGAGGCACGACCACAGCACTGGAGCATACAAGACCTGCAGCGTTTACATCTGAACAGCCCAGGGGTACAGTTGGCTGTACTAATCCAGGATGTAAACATGCCGATTTGATAAGTTTAGATTAAAGCCTTCATGAAGAGAGGTTACATTTGATACAAAGGAATAAATAACTGCTACAACCTTGGTAGGTTTCTTGTCCTCGGAATTTGGCTTTAAAGTTCCCCAATCTTATTAGTAATATGGATATGTCAATTGCTGACCTTGTCCCATACATTCTAATTGCCTGGCTGTGCCGAACGGCTGCATTTGTAAATCACAGAATTAAAGCAAGTATTTAGCAAATGAGGGTGAGAGTCTTTATATCTCTTCTTTTACTCACAAGGTTCATCATTTCTATGGCCCGATTTAAACTTTTGTACACTTCGCATGTAGCATTTTTACATCGCACATTGGGCAGTTCATTCACTAGAAAGGGCGTCCCTACATGCGAAAACGCAGAAAAGAAGCTCATGTAGCTTTTCGAGCTGTGAACTTTGCGTCTTTGTGCACTCAAAACATGTGTCTTGCTTGCTGCATATGAGTTGCCATAAAGAATGGCACATCAAGTGCAAGAAGCATATTTCCAGCATTTTGCATCAAGTACAAGAAGCATATTTCCAACATTTTGCATCAAGTGCAAGAAGCATATTTGCAGCATTTTGTAAATGTGGTCAACATTGTGCGATTTTGCGCTTGTTCACAGGCTACATAAGTATGAATGGGATCTAAAATGTGTGCAAAACAATCATATGGCATCACTCACTGTGGGAGTTTTCTTAGGCTGATCAACCAGCATGTCATGGAGATAAATCAGACGTGTACATAGCGAAGGTTGAGTACTGAAGTACTGAAGCAGAAATATATTGTAAATAGATGATCAGAAATGGGAGAAATATTGTAAACAACAAAAGGCAGAAAGAATAAAAGTAAGGCTGCAGTAACTTTTGAACACTGTGATGAAAATACAATAATGGCTCACTCTTGTGGCTGTTACAAGAGGTGCACACAGTGAGGGTAATTTACTAGAGGAATTGAGAATGTTCCCACAATACATTGTGTAAAAATGCACTTTAAATATTGTGTCCAAGGCTAGGCTATGATCAGTGGAACAAAGTAACCTGGTATGATGAGTTTTTCTCCATATTTTGTACATCCAGATGGGTTTATGTGTGAAAAAAGTGAAAGCCTGCATTATAATGGCCCGAGTAATCTTCAGTATACCACTCTGACCCTTTTGACTATAGAATCCAATTGTAGCTCCCCCCATCCAGCATCACGATGGCTTCAAACAAAAGCTTCCTCTTTGTCATCCATTATTGCTCTGCTATGTTCTCAGTTTCCCCTTCTCCTTCCCACAACACTTGGTATCTGTTTGTCATTAAACATGGCCCCAGTCTCCACTGATATTCTCTGGCCCTTATCATCATACTGATTAAGCTTTAAGAAGGTCTCAGATGGCTTCCATTCAATGTGAGGTATCCATCAGCTTCAATTTGAAGGGAATTATAGAAGTCTCTAGATCCACCATTTACACTTTGGAACTTCAAGCAGAGACTTAAAAATTACAGCAGAAATAAAGGAGAATACTGCCAAGATACAGAGAAATTAAGACAAAGCAATTCAAATGTGAATGTTTTTCTAACCAGTTTCAAGATTTTCTCACTCCCAGACATATACAGGTGAAACTCGAATAATTAGAATATCGTGCAAAAGTAATTACAGTAAGTGCTGCAAAAGGGGCCCAAACCAAGTACTGAGTACATATGCATGCTTGTACTTTTCAGAGGTCCGATATTGTTCTATGTACAATCCTTGTTTTATTGATTGCATGTAATAATCTACTTTTTTGAGGTTGTGGATTTGGGGTTCTTGGGGTTTTCATGAGCTGTAAGCCATAATCATCACAATTATGACAAATCACGGCTTGAACTATCTTGCTTTGCATGTAATGAGTCTATCTCATATATTAGTTTCACCTTTTAAGTTGCATTAGTGAAATAAATGAACTTTGCACGATATTCTAATTATTCGAGTTTCACCTGTACATATGTTTGAGGCCAATTATTGGCCGGATTTGTGGGAGGAGCCCCGCACATTTAAGCCCCTCTGGTTCCACCACTCACCTGTCGGGGCGATCGTGTCATCCCACCCTCCCGTACCCCTTCCATCAGAATTACTCTGAGTATGCCCCCTTATTGCATACTGACCATATTGACCGTGGCACACCTCAGGTCAAGGTTAGGTAGGGTCATCATCTGCAATTTACAGGTAAGAATCAGTGGGGCTCTGACTACAAATATTTTTTAATAGTAGAGCTCACAGGACTACATTCTTACCTTTCCAAACTGCTGGTACCACAGCCACTGCTGTGCTGGTTAGCTGATTTGATGTCTATTAGGACATTTGTGAAATGCATTAAACCTCCCATTGTGGCCATTATATCTCTCTTAAACTGATTGCTGTGTGGTATGCTCAGATGGTTGAGACTGTAGCATTAGAGTACTCAGGTGCACACAACTGTGCATGCCTTACACAGATAATACTTGTTTTTTATTGGCAGTTGGAATAGCAGGATGGGTATAATGGCCACAAATGGTCAAGATAAGTTCCAAGAGCTTGTCCATCATCTCCATGTCATTCTAGCAGGAATTATGTCTGTCTTTGGTAGCAAGAAAACATTTGACAGATAACCCTTCCCTCTTTTTCATGTGTGAAATCAAGCACTATCATGTTATATTGCATCTAATGAATCTGGCAGACACGAGTTGCTCTCATTGACAACAAACAACTCATCTGCTGGTTTAACCCTCCCTTACCTTCTTCCTCCACCTATCTCCTGCAACTGTGCAAAACAATGAGTGAAAATGGATATAGTTTCTGCACTACCTTTCCTTAGGACCCCAGCTAAGCCTTAAGAAGACCAGGTTTGTCCATAGGGGCAACTAGAGCATGAACAGTGTCATCCCCATCCACTTCATGTTTAAGCACACACTGTGAAAAATGCAGCAGGGCAAGGAGAATTCCTGGGCCTCACTTCTCATCATGTCCTTGCCTGCAACCCATATTAGCAAAGAAGGAAGAGGAAGATAAGTTACATTGCATGTTAAAAAGGAAGAAGAGATGTTGCTGAAGGTACTGGATGGAAATAACACTGACCCTCTGTCATCAGGCTCTCTGGTAGTTTTCCCATTTCAGATCCCTCTTCACATGAGCCACACATCTGCCTTTGTCATAGAAACATATTTTATTTTGTTAAAAATGATTTGGGTTTCTTTTATTTTGTTAACACATCAGTCGGTACAGTACAACTTCAGTGTATGTAGTTTTGGTCTTACTGATTGTCTTAGGCTAGCGTAGAACTTCCACAGGTTAAAACAGGTATTTGTCACTTTGGAAAACATACAGTTCTATCTGTAACATGACAGACATCACGTCTGTCGCCCTAGTTAATGCACAACAGTATTTGAGTCATGGTTGAGCATATCTGCACCGTTGACGGAAAAAGCGTGATCTGACGTTGAGATACAGATACATGGCAAGGAGACCCATGCTGGTGAGGAAATAAAGAATAATACACAAACTGATGTCTAAGCGGGAAAACCCAACTTCCAGCATCTTCACCCATCGTCCCTTCCAGTTACTATCCCCTTCGTTCACCATCACCCCAATAAGATATTGTGTGTCAATACCCCTCTTGAGCAATCTTTCTCTCACTGCTTCTTCATTAAAATCAGCATCACTGGGATCCAGCAATATCTTTGGGTGGAGAGCACGTTTATGGAGCTTTGAGTTGGAGTCCTGCAAAGTTCTACCTTGGAAATAATGGTTTTCATAGGCATCTAAGTCCAAGATCTTCTCCTCTTTATCTCTTTTCAGACCTGTGTGGGACTTCATCTTTATAATGGTCGGCCTATGACGTGGGATCTGCTTTGCTTTGGTTGTTAGATGTGTGTCAACCTTTCCTTCCTCTTCAGCTTTAACAGGTGGGATTATATTATCATTTCTGCTTGGTGTCTCCTGTTCTTCTATCACATCTTTTGTTTCCCTTTTCTCTCTTGTGGTATTTGTGCTTGTCACTTCTCTCTGCTTTTTCAATAACTCCGTCTCATCTTCCAAATACTCATAAGCTATGTTGCTCTCAGAAAATCTCTGTTTCAGGAAACGGAGAATGTATGGACCATCCCAGATTTCTTTATCCAGGATTTTTCTCCGGCACTTTGGGCAAAGGTCTTTGGATGGCCACTGGATCTTTGGGAACAGTGGATCTTCTTGTTTATTTCCTAGGAAAACACACACATTTTAGCTACTACAGCATTAATGATTACAAAATATAGTGAAAGCCATACCTGGATCAGTGTCTCCAATAGCATTCATATGGATGGGAATTTAAGTTCTGTGCTCTCCAAATAACAAGCAGAATGCCAAACAAGCATCTGAATTTGTTAATCCTCATGTGCCCTGAGGATACTGCAGCCTAGATACCTGGGCCACATTTAGTAATGTTGCTATGTGTCTGTTAACTTAACAATAACTGTATTACTGTAATTTGCTGACCTAAATATTCTTCTTCTTTTTTAATTTTTTCTTTTTTTGAGGACATATAAGGATTTCATTTGTAATGAACTGTTTTAATAAAAATGCTACTTTGTTTTTTTCTTATAGGCTGACAAGTGGACAAAAATATATATGTAACCATTTAAATAATGTTTTAATACCGTTATTGTATAAGACAAGTACAGTGTTAGACCGAGGCACACCATCTACAGGCTGCAGTGGCCTCGGCAAGCTGAAACCATTTTTTTTAGAATGGTACCTTCAGCTTGCATGTGACTACGCATGTGACAATTTAATAAAAAGTGCTTTACTTCTTGTACGTATCATCGAGTGCTGGTGACTTCTATTAAAGACTAGCCATGCAGACTTATAAAATAGTTTATACAATATAAATGCATTTCAGCTGTGTAAGCGGTTATTTGCCTGGATTCTGCTTTAAAATTGACCTGTCATTGTGAAGCAAACCTAGATCAGATTCAGACTAGTGCTGGTCAAAGAATGATAGCTGACACCAGGTTGTCAGCTCTGAGTTGTTTGCTACTCACCTGCCAATCTTTTATTCACACGATTATGACTTGACCACAACCATCTGATGGCTTCATCATGATCCCGAATGGTGGACATTGACTCACTGGCCATTTTCTCAAACTCTATAGCACATGCCCTGCATCCGAAAAAGTAGCGTATATAATGTCGCATTGTCTGCAAAACTTCCTGTGGATCTAGAGCAGTAGAGTGGGACAAAGACACATATCATCCACAAGACTGATGATTAAACCTGAAAACTTAATCAGCAACTTCTTATATCTCTCTGTGTCTCTAGTGATTTGATTATTGTTGAAGCAAATGAAAGAACTGTTCTCTCTTTTTTGTAGGGAAACACAAATGAGCTTTAATATGCAGCAACCCCCCCACTTTGAATGGGATCGCCAGGCTAGAAGTGGACGAAGCAAAGCAGCAGCGTATGATCAAATCCATTGGATTTAAGATATTTCACCCAAAGGGACCATATTTAAAAGATTTTAAGTGGGTACAATAATACTAAAAATGCTTAGTCTGTAAATACTGCAATAACTCCAAGTCCAGAAGTTGCCAGATTTTGTGGAGATGCAGAAATGGCTAAATTCCCTCCAAAGTATAAGCGATTTAGAGTGTGTGCCATGGCCACTTGTTAAAGGGAAGGGTCTGCACTTGACCCTACTTTCTTGAGATATAGTAACCAGGAACAAGCAGCACATCAAGCACAATGTCAGATTTTTCAGGTCACTGATTCTCTAAGTAGTAGAATCAGGATGACAGCCCTGGAGCCTATTTCTATCAAAACAAAGTAATGGCAGCTTCTATATTTCAAGCCTCACAAGTGCAACTGCATCCTCTTTATATGTAATAATGGAAATAAGAAAGAGCATGAGGACGACAGAAAGGTTAAAGAGAATAAAACTGGTACCACAGTCTGACAACTCAATCCACAGATACCAGCAAATCTACAGGCTCCGAAGAGCCTCCAAATCAACCCAATTAAAAAAAGATATGGTCACAAGAGGGTCATTTTCATCTTTGCTTATAATCCTGAAAGGTAAACCCCGGGCAGGTAACATTAATTATAATTCACAAGTACCCCCTAAGTTTGTCCATAATTATTGTTCATGTTTATTCTGATCATATTTTCTCCTACAAAAATAATTGTAATGGCCTACATCAATGGCCTTTGGGCTGCAACTGAATCATGGTTTTGAGATCAGTTTGAAAAGCTTATGTAATCATTCACAATTCACTGACAGGTGAATTAGACTTGCAGATGACCTCCTTCTGATCTGCATCAAGCTGCTTCAAGCTATTTTTGGATTTCCATAAACTTTTTTTAAAAGAGAAGCAGTTCTGACACAAACAAATGCCTGTCCACTCAGGCCCTAAAGGTGACCTATTTTCTGGCAGGGACTTGGGTCACCTTTGCCCGCATTGGTTCTGATGAAGGAGGCGTGGCCTCGGAAACGTTAACCTAAACCTCAGGGAGGAAGAGTAGCCGGTGGGCTTAACTGCTCGTGTTTTTACTCATTTCATGCCTGTAAAAACTCCATTTTTGTGAGTATGATTTTATGTGTTTATTTACTTTATTAAAGCGTTTACACGCGATGGAGGCGCTCTTTGTCTTTTGTTTTTTCCACCTTTGCCTGCTGCTTATGGGATGTTTATTTTCTAACAGGTCTATTCACAAAAGGGTGAAGAGTTTGGAGAAGGCAAAAGAAGTGAACAATCTAGGACAACATAGCTGATTTTGAAACATTCTTCAATTCAGCTCACTTTCCAAATCAGCTATGTTGTCCTAGATTATTCACTTCTTCTGCCTTCTCCAAACTCTTCGCCCTTTTGTGAATAACCCTGTAAATATTTAAGATACTTCCAGCACAGAAGATTCAGGATATGTGTTTTACTAACCTGAATCAGTGTCTCTCAGTTCAAATGCTTGGACTGTCAGTAAGTGGAAGAGTGTCCAGACTGTACATGGGAAACCCCGGTATTCAGACTTTGAGCCCTGACACCAAACAAAGTTCACATGTGGCACCAGAACTGCATCCTTATCCTTAGGATAGAAAAGTAGGAAACAGAAAAGAACAAGAACACATGTTACAAATACAGTTAGCAAGAGCTGAATAATTTTAAAGTTTCAATCCATGTTATAATAATGTATGAAACAGTGAATTTTACTTTCACCAAACATTCACTGGTGATGAATCATTCCCTGTAATTCAAAATGCATGCACTAGGAAGATTCTCACGCAGTGAATGTTTGGTCAGGGTCACATTCATAAATATTCAATTTAGACTTGTACTGCATTGCTGCCAATTTGACATTTTTTTTTTTTATGATTAAACCAGTTTGGTGCAAGCTGAACTTATGATTCTTGTAAATTAGTTATAACACAAGCTTAAAAACATTTTTAGGGATATTTTATAGCTCTTAGCTCATTATTTTCATACATAATAGATATCACCCATATTACCCCATATAACCCCTAACTGACATGTTTTACAGTTTTCTTCTTCTTCAGGACTGGACTCAATCACATAAACATAATCTAGACCAGTGGTTCCCAACCTGTGTAACCCCAGGACCCGCATTTGTCCTCGGTCATTAAGTCGCTACCTAAGTCGCACTGCAATGGAACGCACTGCAGTGTGGGCTGCTGTGCTGTGATGGAGTTCCATCCATATGTGCATTGCTTGTACAGTTCTCATGCGCACCCTGTAGAGGTGCCGATAGCCATGTGATGTCACTCCAGTCCAGGCACCTCTAAAGGACATGCGACGGAGCTATAAGCAATGCAGGTATGGATGAAGCTCCCTCAGTACCATACCACCAACCCACCCCACTCCACCTCAAGCTGACACTCGGCGCCGGGCAGCATATTTTGAATGGCTGCTCGGTGTGAGAACGGACAATGCTGTACTATGGGGAGGCTAGGGAGAGGCTGAGGAGCCTCTCACCAAGAAAAGTGGAAGGCTTGCAGCGACCCACTGAACACGGGTTCCCGACCCACTTTTGGGTCCCGACCCACCAGTTGAGAATCACGGATGTAGACAAATCCTTTCTGAAACAGATATTACAAGACAAACGTTACAAGCTATTTATAGTCATTCGTCTTATAGGCATATCAATTATATGGCTGTAAAAACTAATGTTGTAAATGATTGCTAATCATTTTTGGTGCTATGTCTTATTAATGAGATTAATGAGCTGATAGCTGTGAAATATCCCTAAAAATGTTACATAGTTACATAGTATTTGAGGTTGAATAAAGAAACAGGTCCATCAAGTTCAACCTTTGTGTGTGTGCGTGCGTGTTTGTGCGCGTGTCTGTATACATGAGTCCCTGTGAGTTCTAGTCTTTAAGAGTACCTGTACCCCTGTATGTTATAGTCTCTGAGGAAGGTATCTAATTGATTTTTTAATGATTCAATACTCTCAGCTGATACCACTGCCTGTGGAAGAGAGTTCCAAAATGTAACTGCTGTGACTGAAAAGAAGCCCCTAAATCTTTTCTCGTCCAATTTTAGGTGGTGGCCTCTAGTCTTCTGTAGGGACTTTACAGTAAAACGCTTATTGCCGATGTTGCCATTACCATAAACCATTTTGTACATCAAAATATTAGCACGCATAATTACCGCATCAATGGGTAGTACGTAAAATAAAATGTGAATTTTTAATAAAATGATCAGATCTTTTAAGTTTACTTACGTTATTCCGGTTATTTAAAACATTTGCAAAGTCTTCATATGACACAGACTCTCCCTCTTTTGTAGACAGCCAGTCGCTGAGTGTTGTCAGAAGAGTGTGCAGCATGGGGCGGGCAGGAAAATACTGTCAAAAAAATAGATTAGAATAGACTGAGCCATCACGATCGACATAATAAAGTGTAAAGACAGCTGTGCTATGGAGGACTATGATGTCCTGCCAGGATTCAGATTGGGCCACAGTCTCAGCTGCTACTATCCAGCAAAGACTAGGGCTACATGGCTCATTTTAATATTAGACTAAAAAGAAAAAATCTCCTACTGTAAAAATAAAAATCTATACTGTAAAAAAATATTTTTTCTACTACTTCAAGAGACTTTTGGGGGATAGTTAGGAAATTAGTCTCATGAAATCAATCTCACATAGGTGTACATAAAGTGGACCTTTACCCCCTCACTAAAAATCACATCAATATGCAGCTCTGCATGCTGATATGAAATCACCATACATGTATTAGTTAATAAAACATTTTTTGCTTTTATTTCAATTATTGTTTTCCCCATTTCCTAGTTGAGTGAGGCCCTGGAGATGTAGTCCTGGCCTCACAGATGCATTCCAGCAGGGCTGCCACCGAATAAATAAATTATAAAGAGTGGGATAAAAGTAATTTTCGGTTTCGGCCTGACAAATTCTGCTGCAGGAGGTACATTGCAGTGCTATTCATTTCAATGGCACCCCAAATGCGGCTCACATCCACAGTAGTTTTGTCCATGTTATTAAATTGCAGCAGTCTGCAATTGAGGGAGATCAATCGGACCTTTAAAACCCGTTATGTAGCAGCCAGTGGCAGAACTATCGCCATTTAGATCACTAACAACTTGTCAGTGATCTGTGCAGCGGCACATTCCTCCTCACAGCCGCTGCTAAGTCAGTAACAGCCAGCAGCTGCGGTGGAGGAGGAGGCGGAGTCTGGTGCTGGCAGTGGAGGAGGAGGCAGGGCCTGGTGGCGGGGCCTGCCAGCGACTGTGGAGGAGAAGGCGGGGCTCAGCGGTGGAGGAGGCTGACAGCGGATCGAGTCTGACAGGTAAGAGGTGTGCAGGGGTGTGACCAGCCCAACTGAGACCCTGCAGAGCCCACCATAGAGAGTCTAAGGTGGGCTCTGCAGAGTCACTCTCAGGTGGACTGTGTGGGATCTCAGGTGGGCTTTGCAAGGGGCGTAACTAGAAATCACAGGGCCCCATACCAAATATTGCTATGGGGCCCTGTGATTTCTAGTTACGCCCCTGGTAGCAGCCCACAGTAAAATGAATGTGGTATCAAAAGATTGATGAGATTTTTGCAGAATGATTAAGCAACTACTAAAAATTAGCATGCCTCCTGCAGAGCTGATAGCATACTGAAGGAGCACACAGAGCAGGCTGACAACACTGCTGCTAGCTGTGAGGCAGTGACATTGTGTACTCAACCTGAAAAAGGAAGTGTTGCTACTGGCAGGATGACCAGGTAGGAAATAGAGTGACATGATGTCACACAAACTGACCAATAAATCTAAGGATTACATGCACTTTAAGATGATATATTATGAAATATCTCTTTGGTGGCTATAACATATATCTAGGGCTGTAGACATGTTTAAGAACCAGCTTGGTTTCATAATAATTACACATCTAGTCCTTTTATTAAACACCTCACCATCCTACATAATAGTCCGCTATCAAACAATCGGGATTCCCTTCTGTCTAATCAATCAATTATCTGTCAATAGTTGTTTGTCTACATACAATGGATGTACCCATACTGGTAAAACATTTCTGCTCTTGCTTCTGATGTGTATCACTTACCTTGGATAACATCTTGATGTAGCCACCAAGTGCTTTCAGACGCTCCCCTTCCAATGTGGTGAAGCGAGCAACTTCCACCCTCAAGGAATAATGGAGAGAAGACTCGAGGTCTGCCATGTAGATCTTGGAACTAGAAGTACAAAATAAAAATGATAACAGGCTTTCTCAAGCAGGGTGCCATCTGGCTTTCTCGGGGGTGTCTAGAACTTTTCACACAGTGTCATGCCATTCCATGGTGCAAGCAGGCTGATGTAAAAGAGGGGGACTCTGATGTGAAAGAGGGGGACTCTGAGGTAAAAGAGGGGGCTCTGAGGTAAAACAGGGGGCTCTGAGGTAAAACAGGGGTCTCTGAGGTAAAACAGGGGACTCTGATGTGAAAGAGGAGGACTCTAATGTGAAAGAGGAGGACTCTAATGTGAAAGAGGAGGACTCTAATGTGAAAGAGGAGGACTCTAATGTGAAGGAGGGGGACTCTGAAGTGAAAGGAGGAGTCTCTGATGTGAAAGAGGGAGCCACTAATGTCAAAGGAGGGGGACTCTGATGTGAAAGAGGGGGGCTCTGATGTGAATGGGTGGGACTCTGATGTGAAAGGAGGGGGCACTGATGTGAAAGATGGGGACTCTGATATGAAACAAGGGGGCTCTGATGTGAAAGAGGCTTTTGATGTGAAAGAGGGTTTCTGATGTGAAGGGGGGCTCCTTGTGTGAGAGGGGTTGACTTTGATGTGAATGGGGGCTCCTGAAGTGAAAGGGGCTCCTGATGAGAAGACTGCTAATGTGAAGGGGGACTCCAATGTGAAGGGAGGAACCCCACTTGTTTTGTTTTTTTCATGGGGTCCCCCCTTACAATCCCTACCCGACCCATATCCTGGACACGGGTCTGGTATTTCGTATTGACCACACGTCATTTTTTACATGTTTACATTTACGTTTTTGAGATTTTAGACTGAGGTACCCTGGGATTTTGCAGTTTTAAAGGGTGCCATGACTGAAACAAGGGTGAGAAAACGCTGAATTATACTATGAAAGTGAGGAATTGGTCTTTAAAAGACACCTGTCAGGACAGAAATACACAGGCCTCTATGAAAAAGCTTGTTGCCTGATTCCCATTGGCTCAAATACTTTCTCAGGCCTGGAAGAAGTTTGAAGCCAGTCAAGTCAGCACTCATGACCTCTGCATTTATTCCAAGTAAATGGCTCAGAAATCCATATAATTGGTATGACAGCCAGGCAACTAGCATTTTCCAAAGAGGACAGATATTGCAGTTTATGTATTTCCCTCAAGAAGGTTTATCTTTACCGGACAGCATTGGCTTATTTAATTCAAAGCCACACTGTTGCAGAAGATACCCTGGGCACGTCTGGTGATAAAAGTGCACTTGACTCTCTCCCCTGCACCATAAAGCAGTGTCCAGGGTGTCTGAGCACGGCAACATGGGAGGGTAGGATGGTCCTTAGCCTTGTGTGTGCCCTGTGCCAGTACACAGGGCATTGCAGTAACCCCCAACATGTGAACAGGGAGTCATGTATGCAGGTAAGTATGTGCTCCTTACCCTCCCTGTGCTCAAGTCAACCTGTTCTGTTGGCCAGAATGGACAAACTCCACATTTGCTTTAACGGGGAAGTGTAAAAGGAAAACTATATGGGGAAGAACACATGTATTTTGATTCTTCTGCTAACACTGTCTATGAACAATAAAGTTTTAAAGCCCAGCTCTAGGTCTCCCCTTGCCATATGAACCCCCCTCCCCTATTTAAGGCCTCCCTTGTGTTTTTTTGCAATTTTATTTTGTACCGAACATTTCAGATGTCTTTTGGCTGGTCATTTAAAGGGCCACATCCTCTTCAGATCTTCTTCCAGCGGTGGGTGGTCTTTGATGATTCAGAGGGCCGTGCTGGTGTCATCAAGTTGGCGCCATCAAAAACCACCTACAGCCATGAAAAGATCCAAAGAGCACACTATGCCCCACATGACCAGCCTCCCTCTGCATCAATACACTGTGGGTGCGGAGCAGTGTGTGGACACCCCCTCAGGGGCGGATCCATGATGCCCTTCAGTCACAGTATCTCCTCAACCCGAAAGACTGAGGACATCTTGTGATAAAAAGCAAATATGGCAGGGACAGTGCCAAAATGGAGGCAAGTATTGCAGCCAGAGCTTCTTCTAAGACGGCTTAAAAAAAAAATTAGCCCGGAGTTGGGCTTTATCCATTTACCTATTTGCAGGTCTCAATGTTACATTCTTCTCCTCAATCCCAGACCATCCAATGATATTAAGGTTTAGTTTATTCACCCCTGGCAGTGAACGAATGAAACTGGTGTATTCTTTTCGAGACTCCTTCTCCCTATGAGGAACAAAACAAAACATTGTTTACATTTGTTTTATATTTTGGACTACTGCAAGTTGTCTAGTAGGGAGCCTATTTCTGATATCTTGCTCATATTTCTATCAATTTATAAACAGTTTTCAGATGCACATATAGTTATGAGCTGTAAATGAAATTTTAATAAACCAGTGGCAAGAAATTAATCTGCTTTTGGCACTTATTGGCATTATTTTCAGCACAAGGTTAAAAAAAACAAAAGAACATTTCCACATTATTTAGAGCTTTGAAGTCATCAGGAATATGATGCTGCAATTCTAAATATGGCCACTAGAGGGGGCAATTGACAAAACAATTGCAAAGTGACAGTAAGCTGCATATTGAACAGTTTCTGTCTTGCTCTCCTTGAACCTGTACAGATTGACAAAATGTTTAGTTAGTAAATGAGGGCAAAGGTGTTCCAGCTGTAATTTCCCTATTGTAAGCTAGCCAATAGCATCCTGTTTGGTTATTGTAAGTCACACAATGATATACTTTTATACTCAAATTGCTTTTATAAATGTCCTCAAGTGACATAAGAAGTACTGGATTGAGCACAGGGAAACTCACAGCTTGAGTCTACTGATTGATCCATTTCTACTCAGCAAGAATCCAGATGGAAATGATGACACATTGAACCTAGAGACAAGATCATCCTGTTCATTAAGTACCCTCCGGACTGAGACACCGCCATACTGCACCATATCCAGAGAAACCTGAAAAATGGAATATTACATTATAGCACATGGGTTCCCCATCACAACTGGACCTCAGTTCAGCACTGAGATTTACACAGAGTCTGTTACCCCCAAAGACATTAGATCATAAAGCCAGAAATATTAGGCAGGGAAGTTTTTTTAATTAACCCTTGCAGTGGGGCTACCCTCACACTGCAAGGGTTAAGCGCTCCTTTTGATCTAGGGCTGAGAATAACAAAGTTATTATCTTGAGTATGCGGTTCAGTTTTGGTTACCAACCCTCAGGAAAGATGTCCTCGGATTTGAGAGAGTTCAGAAAAGGGCTTCAAAATTAATAAAGGGAATGGAAGGCCTGAGCTATAAAGATCGCCTCCAGAAATGAAACGTGTTCTTCTTAGAAAAGAAGCATTAAGAGGGGACCTAAGTACAATTTTCAAAATCATTAATGGAGTCTACAATGGCCAGTCTGATGCACAACGTTTGCAGTGTGCCTTTCCAGCCAGAGCATTCCAAGTTATTAGGAGCCGGGGACGGGGAGATGAGTAAGGACCATATACATCTCTGCCCAGCTCTTAGCAAACTGGGATGCTGTTGCCAGTGTCCCACCGAGCTCCTGGCAACCAGGGATGTTACCGGGTCGGTTTCTCTGTATGGACAGGGGCTAGAGGAAGAGTCTGCAGGAGCTGGGCCATTACACCCATGATCCACTGATGGCAGTTGCAAGGCTCTGCAGGTTCCAATGCAAAAAAAGTAATTATGCCGTTAATGGCAGGTTCATTTTTAACACTTAATTCTTACCTCTCTTGCCATGTACATATCAGGAAGTTCAAATATCAAAACTAGATATCCCTCGTCATTGTTCTGGAAAAACTGGTCAACCTCAGCAGTGCTGGAAGAGATAATATGATTAATTATATCTGCATTATCTAAGATCTGTTGGCAATATTGAATAAAATGTTTATAGCAAAGGTCATCACAATAACTAATATATCATATATGTTTTAACATTGTACAGTAATTTCAAAAGCCATTTTCAATATTTGTTAATCTGTAGCTTTTTAAAATAACACTTGGTGATCCTGCCATGCAGATCCTTACTCATGCACATCCTGTTATAGGCTGACAACACCCTGTCTCCTAACTGTACTCCTGCATTGGCACTATGTCACATGTGCTTCCAATGGAAACTACACGTGGCCATTTTGGCATACGTTACATGGCAATGGTTCATTGTTGTCACCACCTGGGAAATGCCATGCCGACCTCTCTGGAGTGCATGCAGGAGATCAGCAGCCCGGATATAAAACAAAGGTTTTAATAAAATGAAAAAAAGGTAAAAAAGTTATTTATTTAAAAAAGCCAATTGTTTATGACACATACTGTATATACAGTTTTTTGTGTATGATACATCTGGACGTCTTCACGAGTATTTGTATTCGTAAAAAATGCCCCAATACTAAGCACACACGTTCTTTAAACACAACATTCTTTTACAGCGCCGGTCCGGCTACACATCTCCTCCTCCTCCCCGCCAACCACTCCGACCCATGGGGAGACCCAGGACAGCCATGGGGAGACCCAGGACAGCCATGGGGACACCCATACCCGCCGAACAGCCATGGAGAGACCTGCACGCAGCACTGGTGACACTGCATAGCCCAATGAGACCTGCACACAGCCCTGGTGACACTGCACAGCCATGATGACACCCATACTCAACGAAGGTGAGACCGCACAGCCTTGGTGAGACCACACAGCCTTGGTGACACTGCACAGCCATGGTGAGACCCATATGCAGCCCTGGAGACACTGTACAGCCTTGGTGAGACCCATACACCGCCTTGTTAAGACCTGCACGCAGCCCTGGTGAGACCCACAGGCATCCCTGGTGAGACCCACAGGCATCCCTGGTGAGACTCGCACACAGCCTTGGTGAGACCCTGCACAGCCATGGTGAACAGCACAGGGAATGTAGCTTCATATTATTCTACATTGCTATATAATGTATTGCTGGTATTTGTAGTTCTCTATAGCTGGTGGTATTCTGCATTGCTGTATAATGTGTTGCTGGGATTTGTAGTTCTCTATAACTGGTGATATTCTGTATTGTTGTATAATATAGTGCTGGGATTTGTAGTCCCTCTACAGCTTAGCGTCAGTGGCAGAGCTACCAGGGTCGCATCAGTTGCAGCTGTGACTGGGCCCTGGAACGTGAGGGACATTCCACTGCCAGAGCGGAGGGGATGAGAGATAAGCGATCTGTGCCAGAGGATCAAGGCTCCATTGAGTATAACTTCCTTATTTTAGACCCAAGTGAAAAATAAGCAATTAACCCTTGCAGTACGCGGGTAGCTCCACTGCAAGGGTTAACTTTTAAAGTGCCCCGAGTTCTTCTTTAAAAAAATATTTTTAAAAGTAAAAAGCTGTCTCCTAGAAACATGGCGGCTGCTATGGCTGACCTCTCCTGAAAATGCGATTTGACTGGCTGACATATAAACCTTCTGGCTTCAAGTATTAAGACTTTGAATTCTTCTCCAACTTCCCAGGTCTACACGCCTGTTGTTGCAGATCAGTGGATCAGCAGGCATTAAAACCATAGGGGTCAGCATTATGCAATGCAGCTAGTACTTTCAGAAGGATGTCAACAATGGCCGCCCCTATTTCTCTAATATCAGGTTTACTTTAAGCATGTTTCCATTCCTTAGTCATACCTGATTGGTTCTAGTGGTGGACATGCAGGGGGCGGAGACTCCTTCTTCGCTTCCAATGTGTCAATAATCATTTTTTTAATCGCTTTTGGATCCCGAGCTGCAGAGATATGGTGCAAACAGATGTTTAAGTAACACCGCCATTTTCCTGCTTCCAACCCCTACAATATACTAATATAGAGTATTTAAAAAGACGTCCACTTAGGGGAAAACTGAAAGTATTTAGGATAAATTCCAGTGGCTTCCTACCAATTTTGTAGCAATTTGTCACTTTAATTTAAGTACATAGTTGATAATAAATGGTTTTACAGAAGCAACTCCAGTTGCTCACTTTGCTCACATCTATGCAATTTCCTGCAGCACAGCACAGTCAGATATGGGTTTTGCAAAGTCAGTTGTGTCCATTCCATTCTCTGCATGATAAGATAACACAACTCCAGCCAAGACATTTCGTTTTGGATAGAGTGGGATAGGATTTGCATGTCTTAGATTTGTATTGGATTTCCCATTGTAGAAAATAAAAATGCAGAATGTAGACCAACAGTGGCAGATGTGTTGGGGCGAGTGTAGACCAACCCTTTTCAGCCAGGGTTTGTTGGAATCCCAGGGTTCCTCCAGAGGTTGCCAGGGGTTCCGTGAGCTGTGGCTGATTGACCACCTGTCTGATGGTGCCTGCTGCATAATTCCAGGCCCAACGCCAATTTTTAGCTGTCCATATGTTTAAACTACCACTGTGGGGGGGTCATTCCTCCCACTAACCACCGATGTAAGATGCATTCTTCCCACTGGCCCTTGATGAATTAGTTTTAGCAAGGGTTCCCTGAGACCTGAAAATGATTTCAAGGGTTCCTCTGGGGTAAAAAGGTTGAGAAAGGCTGGGCTAAACAATGACCGTTTTTAGTAAATGCGATGAAAGTTCCAACTGGCATTCAATGGTAAAAAAAAAAACAGCAAATGACCAGCCAATTGATTGAACTGTTCTTTATAAATATCCTACTAGGTCTGAGTAAATGTTTGTATGTTGTAGATATATGGGGGCATATTCAGCAAACAATGCAATGAGAAAAGCACCAAGTGCAAAATACAGTAACCCTTGCAGCCAATTAGAATTCAGATTATTAAATTAAAGGCACTACAAGATGGATTCTGACTGGTTACTGTGGGTACTGAAAATTAAAATGATGTTGGCAATTCGCAGGATGAGTTTCAAGCACTTTCAAACAATTTAAACCACCGACCAGATCAATGTAGCCTAACAAGGGTGTATATATTTATATTGCTGGGATATAGGTTGCCTAGATCCATTCTGCAATTCAAAGTATTATTCTTCATTCCTTGAGCTAGTTTACTGAACAGGCCCAAGGAGTGTATATCTTATAACCACACTTGGTACATTGGGATCCACAATACTAACAGTACAGCAAACAGAAATGTGACATGCTGAGAATCCCAGAGGATCTAAAGAGCACATTAAGAAGAAGAGTCAATGTTTTCCCCCACCCACTAATTAAACAAAGAAGGATCAGTAATAGAAAACACTGAGAAGGGAAACTGCTCACATACATAGAAATTGGACGGCCTCTGACTTGTGCTTTGAATATGCATGGAAGTGGATGAACGGATGAGCCGACACTCCCGGCGCAGAGATGGGGGGCCCGCTGGCTGCTGGATACCGATCCGGTGCTGGGACTGTGCTAGGCCCCCCTCCCCCAGGCCGAGGCCCTGGTGCGCCCGCACCGGCGGTAGTTCCGCCACTGCTGGCAGGCATAGCTTCCTGAAAACATCACAGCACCCTCAGTACTCCTCTCAGGAACCCTCAGCCCTGACTCTGACTTTAGTACACTGGCTCTTGGAGAAGGTGTACAGATATCAAAATGCCTTGATGAGTGGAAGTAATTCTGTCCGTTCTTAGGCCAATTACAGTTGCATACAGTCTGCCCTAGGTATTGCCCACATTTCACGCTAAGCTGCCATGATTGAAAGAGCTTGAATACAATGAATAAAAGAGGTGGGCCAATGACAGTCAGGCTGGGTAGGAAAGTTGTACACCTGATTGGCGCCCAGTCCTGTCCCTCTCTTAGTGTGCAAGAGGTTAATGCCAAATGAAGGAACTTACACTAGTGGCCTTTAGATCAAAACATTGAATAATTTATTTATGAATACATGGCGGCACTTTGTATATGCCTGGAGTTCAGCTTTAATCAGACAAAAGGATAATAATAACCACAATACCCAATCAGCAATCATCTCTCACTGACTGCTCTAAGCTAATGAAAAATTAAATCTGATTGGTTGTTACTGATTGCTACATGCTAATGATTTCATAGAAACAGTTACCTTCAAGGTAGGGAATCCTTGTATTTCAAACTGCTTACAGGCTATAGAGTTGGCCTCATCTCCGCAGTCCAGGACAGCCAAGTACACCGCAGGTCTCCAGTCTGGATAAAGAAATCTAGATATCAGTATTATGTCTGTTAAATCAAACATCATTTCAAAGATTTGTTTCAGGAATCTAGAAGTCAAATTTGTTTGCTACATCATTGATATAATGAGAAATTAAAGTGTATGCTACCCCAAGATTGTATTTTTATAGGTGTGTCTGTTTTTCCATGTACACATTAGTAAATATACCATGTTCTTGTTTTTAATTGCTTGCCTTTGATTGCTGTCAAATACTTGGTCATGCTGCCATCTCTCTTCTTTGCTATTGTACATTGACTACACCAAGCATAGACACGTGATTAGTTTGCATGTCAGAGCTTCCTTCTTGGAGATACAGGATGCTGGCATGGTGCACAACATGCATGTATCTCCCATTGTCAGTATGGTCGCCCCCTCCTTCCAGTGCAGCCTTTTTCAGCTGCGGCCTGTAGGAGCGCAGTACACACAGATGGGGAATGTACTTCCCTACTATGTGTGATGTAATATTCTGCCCACCTGGTTGCTCTAGAGACATGTACCTGGCTATAAGGAAGAAGGAAGCAAAGGAGGTTGTGTGGTCACATGACCGCCAAATCAAGGATACAAGTAAGGTTTAAAAAAATTAAGACGAAATAAGAACTGCTGTGCTGGTATTGTGTTCTAGAGCAGCATTCCTCAATCTGTTGTTATAGCACCCTATAAAAGTATGCAAAATCACAAGGCACCCCAGTCTGTAAAAAAATTATATGTGGTCCTCCCAAAATCTAATATAGATTTTAAGTGGGGACCCCACACCGAAAAAAAATAAAAATGACACCAGAAGCCCCCTTAGAATCAGAATCCTCAGTCCCCCCTGCACATCAGAGTTCTACCTTACAACCTGCACCACAGCATGGCTGTGGTAGCATGGCAGAGGCGACTTCCATCCTGTTCTGAATGCTGGAGGAGGTCCTGGATGCCGTCCACCCTGGATAAGTGACATGCGTTTCTATGGTGCTGGTGGCCAGCAAGGCTGCACCATAAAACTGCATGACGCGGTACAAAAATTTGACAGCACACTTGACGAAGCCTTAAGGCACCCAGAGAGCCGCAGCAACCCTGAGAAAGGCTGTTTTAGACTCTAGTGTTCACAAATACTTTAAACCTGTAGCAGTGGAAGTGGAAATGTTGCCTGGTATCAAGTCCCAGACTTCAGGCTCTAGTTAATAATTACATAATTTTTTGACTTGCGGCAGGCCATTTAGTCAAATTTTAGATTTCAGAAGCTTTGGTTAGTCTGCTTTTGGATGATTAACTCAGCAGATGATATTTAGCTGTATGGGTGCTTTATAGTAAAGGGAGTGTGACTGTCAGCATTGTCACTGCTAATTCATAAGCCTGTAGCTTGTCAATCAACACCTGCCCACTGCTAACTAGATTGGTAGCATTATGCTGATGCTTTGGCTTCAATGCTGTGTGAGCCGCTGGCCTGGAATAAATATAGTAATATGGAATTCTGACACTTTGAGAGAGTAAATAGACACTCGAAGAAGAGAAGGGGGCTATGACTTTCATGGATAGGGGATGTATTAGGGATTGACTCTTCCTGCAACATTTTCTAGCAAGTTCAATGGCACATTGCAAGTGAATAAAAAGTAATTTCTGGAAAGGAAAAACACTGCAAGTCAGCATTTAAAATACTTGATTTGTGACAGGGTCTCTTTAAATGCCCCCTCGGTATCCCCTGTATTTAATTTGCAGAGTCATATGTATCCTGGCCCTATTCGGATATACTATATTTATATTGTTCTATGTTTTAAAATGATTAGTATTATGTTTCATTGTTTGGGTGTTCTATAAACATATCACATTGGATGGACATGGGCTTTGAGCAAATTAAAAAGCAGGACCTTGATCTTTCTTTTATTTATGAGGGACTGTTGAAGGTAAATAAATTAAATACTTGTTTCCTTAACTACTCATTTAGTATATGATATGGAAACCTATTCTATTATCCGTTAAATCACTGAGCCCTGGACTGTTCCAGTAAAGATTAGAAGTAGACAAATAACAGCGGGATGGAATGAGTCACAATGGTGCCTCTATGTACGTGTCCTCTTTTCATACTATTCTATCTCCATTGCAAACATTGACTTAATCTCAGCAGTCAAGCAACAAGACAAAATCTGCCATTAGTATTACACATTTTAAATACATGAGTTTCCATTATCTGTGACACATCTACAAGACCGGGAGCATCCTACAGTACACAGCGCAGCCCAGCATGCTCCCAGAAGGAAGCCCCAGTCAAACTACACCAGTAAGGAAAGTGGTTTTATGGGGTGATTTACTGCAAATTTTACTTAATCAGAAAATACATCACCCAATCAGCTTGAAGTGTATTTATACCATAACAATGAACTTTTGTTATTTGCTCTCTTTTTCTCTGTTAAATATACCATTAAAAGTTCCACAAAAAAAATACCTGTGGATCCTGCTGGAACATATGGCAGTCCTGTGTCATGTACACTTTTTAAAACAATGTTATCAGGAAGTATGGTTGAACTATTGTATACCCCCAGCTATACCAGATTCTGCTGGACTGTCCCGGAATTTCTACTTAATCCCAGCATCCTGCAGATCTGGGCCGTGTCCTGGAGCTGAGCATTGGAACATTTCTTCTAGCACTTGGCTCCAGCTCTATGCAGAACCTGCCCAGCTGAGTGATCTCCAGCTGGACAGCAGTCGCCTAGTTCCAGTAGCAGATGAACCTGAGAGCCAATAGTCCTATCTCCACTACACATTAGTGTTCCTCTTCTCCCACTAAGTAACAATGCCCCCCATACCCTCACTAAGCATTAGTGTTCACCCACACCCCACTGAACACCAATGCACCCTCCAACCTCTACCAAACACTAGTGTTTCCCCCACTTTGCACCAATGCCCACTGACACCATGGCCTTTTTTCTGTTTTACCCCCTTTTGATGCCAATGCCCCCCCAACACACACGCACTAACACCAATGCCCCCTCCACTGATTCACACTAACAATTTTTTCTTCCCACTGACAACTGTGACTGTCCCCCCCACCCCCGGCCATATTATGCTATTTTTTTTATACTCACCTTTTCCTAAAGTTTACAGGTCAGTCAAGAAAGGCTGCAGGGTCCCCTTCTCTCCAGATGGCTGGTGTGATGACACTGCTACTGTTCTCTACACCATTACACAGTGAATCCAAGAGACCATGATAATGTCTCCTCAGGGTCAAGTCAGTGTTCCCTTCCAAACTGAGTGACAATGGGCATCATTCAACCTGGAACACTAAGGACACCTTCTGACAAAAAGGATTCATGTGGTGAATAGCAGTGGTGAGAAGTATTGCACCCAGAGCTGATTTTTTTTTTTTTACACAGACTGGGAGCCCAATTAATTTAATTTTCTAATGTGTTTGTATTTTAAAATGGCATAAGCTTAAAGGGCAACTGTAATTATAATAACCACTGTGAACTAAGGCTGGTGAAAAACTAGTTATTGCTTAATGTGGGACTCTAGCCAAAATCTCCATTTTAGTAGGGAAGAGTTAGATTCCCTGTGAGGATGTTTTTGCATCTGTCCCCCAAATGGGGAGGTTTTCCCTCACTTCTGTTCTAGTGATGCCCAGGGCAATGCAGAAATGTGAAGTTCTCTTTCCCCCCCAATGAGAAGCATTTTCTATATAGGGACTCATGTGATTGTTACCCCTAACCAACTAGAATCATTTCCTTTTTAAACCATGGTCTGTAAAAATGATATTCTTGCTAGCACCCTTCCCATGTATGTAGAAGCCACTAAGGATTGGTCACATGGTCACTTGCTCCCTATAGGAACACTGAACAAAGCTCTTTATGAAGAATACAATCTCTGAGAAGAAAGTCTCAGCATACTACAATGCCCTCTTAAGTGGCCCTTATGGGTTTCCACACACACACAGTTACTGGGAATATAGAGTTCATTCAGCCATGAAAGGTAAGTCTCAGCTCTATTTAAACATTAATAAACAAATATTCTCTAACCTTGATTCCTGTGCTCGATAGACTGATTATAAAGGTGTGCAGCACATTCCCACACTAGTTCTTACATCTCTGCCAATTGTCTATATTGTCATTGGCCGGGAGTCAGTCCTCAGCATAGGTCCGAGTAATGGATCAGGAGTTCCATTGTTTATAGATTCAAGAGTCTTTAATCACCAAACAGTTTCTTGCTGGGAGATCTCTGCACTGGAGGTCCTGGTCTCACCTGGATTTTTATTATAGTTTAATTTATGGAAAATGCAACAGGAAAAATGGGACTGTCCCTGTCATAGCTGTTGGAGTAAGACTCCAAGGAGGGAATTCAAGTATCACAATAAAGCGGATTAACCATTTTAAGAAGATGTGGCTGTTAAAACAGTTTTGTGACTTTACTTACTTTCTTTATATCTCTTTGTTGCCAAGTCCAGACTGTGCTTTTTTACACAATTAATTTGGCTACAACTCTAATCTGCCCAACCTACAATGTTGGTCTGATTTAGTATAGATTACATAGTTGTTTATTTACATAACAATTCATGACAAAGGATTTTGCAGCAAAATTACTGATCTTGCCAATAGTTTATCCTCAAATATCACATGCGGACTGCTTAGGAAAAATGTGCTTGAAAAAGTCAAATGACTTAATTTTCGAACAAAGCCAGGCTGATGTGTGATCAATGATGTGTTGATGAACCAACTCTAATGCAAATCCTATTCCTAAAGCTGGCCATACACCTATAGATTTTCTGCAGAGTTTCTATGGTCCGATGGAAAAAGTGCAACAGATTCCTCCATCTACTCTAAACTGTGAGGATGGAGGAATCTCCCACTGGACCAAGCTTCAGTGTCTCGCTAGTCGGCCCTGCTGGCTGTCAAAATACCTGAACAATCTGATTGCATGCAGGCATTGTTCAGGTGTTTTTACAGCCAGCGGGCCCGACTAGCGAGATACTGAAGCTTGGCCCAGTGGGAGATTCCTCCATCCACAC